TTTTTTTTTTTTACCTTATTTGTTCAATGACTCCCAAACGATTCGTTTAACGATTCATTTTTCCAAACCCATCCTTTGTGTGACGCTACTCTGCGGTGATTGGTCCGATTGGTCTAATTTTCATTTAATCATGTCTGTAATGCCTGATAAAGCAGCATTAGTGTAATGCTGCTTTGTGTACAGCGTTACTGGGGAAACTGTACTGCTCCAAAAGCGCCACCTAGTGGCAAAGAATGAATTAGCATTTTCATTCAGACCAATGCGAAAAGACCAACAAGTGGGCGGGCAATATGATAATGTTTCATGTTGACATCAACATCCATAATAGGGGCACTTTAACATTCTCATAACCAAGAAAAGAAACAAAATCTGAAACATTTCAAAAACTGGATATTTTGTAGTTTCAGAGAACTAAATATTAAATAACTTAATGATAACCTAGCAAAATGTTCTTAGAACATGCTTTTGTTAGCTGGGAAACCGCTAAAGCACGATGCTAAAAGATTCACAAATGTGCAACTTATAATTTATCTCATTATATGTGATCCAATCAATCATTCATTCAAAAACATTCATCTTATGTGGGGATTTATAATATATTACATTTACATTTAGTCATTTTCCAGACGCTTTTATCCAAAGCGACTTACAATTGGGGGATACATAAAGCGATTCTTTCTCCAGAGAGTCCAGATTATGGGAACCAAAATGTTGAGTGAAAACCCAAATACATCCGCTTCTCTGGAGCTTTAACACACATCAACCCTCAAATCTCAGTAGTTTTTGACATTCTCATGGTGCACATAAAAATGCTCAGGATGCCACTGTGCTAGCAATAAACCACTGTTTATGAATCTTTCTTTGAGATGAGATAGGAACATGCAGGAGTTACTTTACTGCAATGAGGGAATCTGCATATATTTAAATATTGCTGTGAATCTTTGCACGCGTGCACATGTACAAGTCAAACACATGCTGGCTGTTTGGCAGAGAAGATGGCTATTCATATGCTGAAGGCTTAAAGCGCTTGAGAGGACTAGTCACGTGTCTCCATGGTGACAGGAAGTGAGGTGACACTGAAGAACTCAGAAAGTTCTGACAAGGTTTTTATCAAGAAAAATGACTGAGATTGTGTCTTGACAAAAAGATTTGTCAGATGATGTGGCTCCCTCATCTGGCCAATGAGAAAAAATGCAAAAAGGAAAGAAAGTAATAATGTAAAATGATTTCAAGATTAAAGTAAGAAGTGATTTTCATGATTAAAATGTAATTTAAAAAAAGCATAAAAACAAGCAAAATATTTGGGGACTGATACATAAATTAATAGGCTATTTATCGAGCTAATAAAAGATTGTAGCAGGTTTGATTTTTACAAATATTATAAATATGCTCCTGTACACAAACAACAGTTTCTTAAATAGCCTTCATAATTAATACAATGGCGAAGATGCCAATTTAGTAAATTAACGAAACAAATCACGCAACGCCAAACACAGATTATATACACAGACTATGAGCATTATAAACATTATTAAATGAATGAACTCCATCCTACACTCCTCCACTATGGCAAATTCATAAACTATATGTTCCAGTCGTTCAGTATCACTTCCTTTTAGATCTTTTGTGGCTGTATTTGATTGATATTTTGACTAAATTTGAAAGTGTCTCTTCACCAAGGGCACTAGAGTCACTGAGTGAGATCAGATGGTAAACTGTCAAATTAGAGATGTCTTCGAGTTCGACAAAGAAGTAAGTCCGGTAACGAAGGTTACAGAGGGCAGAGAGAGAGAGAAAATGGGCCAACAATTACTCACCCAGTTCTTCGAAAATAAAGGTATATGTTTATTCACGGAGTTTCCTTTGCTTTAATGTCAGCGCTAGTTGCTTAGTCAACCACTACCTGATAGTCAATTCAATAGGTTACGTTTTTTCACCACTGAAAATGGAAAAAAAAAGAAAAAAGAAAAATTAAAATGCTTTCTCTGTGTCCAGATTTGACTACAATAATAATTACTGACACTTCAAATCAACATTTAAATTTCAACTTTTACTAAATGTAGTCTTTAATAATGTCTGAAAATATATCAGTTAATAACCTGATACAAGTAGCGTGCTTTATAGTTCTCACTCTGCAGCAAACGGTTTATTATGTATTTATATTAGTGTTGGGTCGTTCTTGAACGATTCGTTCATTTTGAACGAATCTTTAATGTGACTCGAGAAGAACGAGTCGTCTCGGGGAGTGATTCGTTCAGTCACGCATGCGCAACATTCTATAGGTTCTGTACTGGAATTAGTCAAATAGTTCACCTGGTTCAAGTTGTCGGGTTTTTCCGAGTCGTTCGTTCATCACGTGACAGCCCCATAAGCTTTAACCAATGCAGTCTGAGCCGGAAAGAGAATTGATTAGTTCATCTCTCGAGTCTTCGGGTTTGAGTCGTTCATTCATCACGTGACAGCCCCATAAGCCCAAACCCGAAGACTTGTCAGATAAGAGGTGAGGTGAGCTAATCATAGACTGAAGACCCAGGTAAATAATGAATTCATCTTTTCTGTTTCTTATAGCAGTTTTGTATTGTTTGTAGTGTGATCAACGTTTGCGTAAGTAGTAGACGTTTTAGGGAAGTAACACGTAACATTTTAATTATATTTTGCTCAAATGAACGAAATGACTCGGAAAAAGATTTGTTCATTTTGCTGAACGAGACTCAGAGGTCCGAGTCGGTAAAATGATCCAAACTTCCCATCACTCATTTATATATATATATATATATATATATACTTACTATAAATATGTTCCTGTGGCTCAGTGGTAGAGCACTGTGTTAGCAGATGCAAAAAGGGCAAAAGGTTGTGAATTCAATTCCCAGGGAACACATACTGGTAAAAAATGTATAGCCTGAATGCACGGTAAGTCACTTTGGATAAAAGCGTCTGCTAAATGCATAAGTTATTATTATTATATAGGGCTACACAGCCATCTAGAGGTTACACCCTGATATTGCAGATGATAAATGGTGCATAATTCAGAGGTTAATATTTAGTAAAATCCCCTTAAAATAATGAAAATATTAAAGAAAAAAAATATTATTGAGCTAAAATCACAAAAGCTCAAATATATATTTGTTCTCATATAACTCTGTCTTCATTGTTTTGTATGTTCATCTATAAGTGTTTGGGCTGTTTAATAATAGGATTTTGTTTAAAATCCCCCACTGCGGCCGCGCCCTTCAACATCAAGCCCCCCCCCCCAGATAAAATATGTTCCCACGGCTATGGGTAGGTCTCTAAATACTGATACCTACTGGTCAAAAGCAATAGCAAAAGTAATAGGCCAGTATTATTAAATTGCAGACAAAGATTTTGGATAGCTAGCTTGGCTTGTATGTTTGGTGCAGAATGGGTGCGGTAGGGGGCCCAACCTCATATTCTTTCATAGGGCCCAAAATTGCTAGCGGCGCCCCTGGCTACGGTTTCCGGATTGAACGACATGTTTCCTGGAAACGGTGTGCAACGGGGTTTGAGATATGTTTTCTCTTGTTTGGTGGGTGTGTCAAAAATGTCAGCCCAATCAGCAGCAACATGTATATAAACCACGCAGTATTAACCTGTTGAGCGGTACGGTCCCACATATGGGATTTAGACCGTTCGGTGCCGTCACATAACTGCCAAATTCACGCCGCTGCACCTGTCATATAATCACAACTATGCCATTGTTTTTAACCACATGATGTTTATTTTAGGTTTCAGACATTTAAATACACATAAGTATTAGTAAAACAATACATTTAGAGTTAGTAAAATACACACGGATGTTTATGGAAGCAGCAATAACAATCCATTCAAATATAATTAGCCACATGTTTTATTAATATCAGATACACATAGTCTAAGTAACCATAAAGTTCACTCTATTCTTCTCCCAGTTCACCGGACACTTATTTGCATGTATTTTGGGATAAATTTATGAAAATGAAATCGACTGACAGGACTCTCTGAACTGCAGCGCGAACAAACATGGCAGCGCGCATCTCACGTTACGGATCAAGATCATTTAGAAAGGTTTTTAAACGACAAAACACACTAATTTACACATATTTGTGAATCGGAATATCAGATAGTTGATGACATGGTAAGCAAGTTTATGAATATTTTGAATAAAAAAGGAAAACGAAATAAAAGCAATCCATCTTTCAGACAGTGTTATTGTGGCCGTCACGTGACAAGCATGACGCGTCGCCATGAAAACAGTAAGGGGAAACGTTCTAAAATAATGGCCGCCTAAAAAAATCTCACTCTGGGGGGACCGCTATTGCATGTATTTTGGGATAAATTTATGAAAATGAAATCGACTGACAGGACTCTCTGAACTGCAGCGCGAACAAACATGGCAGCGCGCATCTCACGTTACGGATCAAGATCATTTAGAAAGGTTTTTAAACGACAAAACACATTCATTTACACATATTTGTGAAACGGAATATCAGATAGTTGATGACATGGTAAGCAAGTTTATGAATATTTTGAATAAAAAAGGAAAACGAAATAAAAGCAATCCATCTTTCAGACAGTGTTATTGTGGCCGTCACGTGACAAGCATGACGCGTCGCCATGAAAACAGTAAGGGGAAACGTTCTAAAATAATGGCCGCCTAAAAAAATCTCACTCTGGGGGGACCGCTAGAATATTTTAAACTCATCAGTGAAAGGGTTAAAGAGACAGCTCGCACAATGGGTTCAAGTAAAGTCGTTTACATACGCGTCCGCTGCAGCTCGGTATACGCAACAATTGAACTGTAACATCGAGCATATTCTGCAGTATTAAACATGTATTTATACAGATTTCACCAGGCTCTGAAAATTCTTCAAAAAGAACACAAAGAATGGCCTTCTCAGCTGCCATAGCTGCAACTCTTGCGTCATCAGAACAGGGTGTTCAATGCACCACCGTTTCCGTTTAAAAAACGTTTTGCAACGTTTTGTCGGGGCTGAACGCAGCCCTGTCGTGTTTACAGGTTTGATGACACACTATTGTGATTCTGAAAGCTGATTGGCTTTGAATGCTGAATGCCTCTAACGGTTTGTTAGGCTATTCGTAAAAGGAGGGACATTTCATTTATAGCTTTTGGGCCTTTTTTATGATTATTGAAAAAAAAAGTACTCACTCAGATTAGAAGAGGCAAAACAAAAGCATTTATGTGAACAAAAAGGGAAAAAAAAATATTTAAGGGCTGTACTGTCCTTGAAATAGCATAGTTTCAGCCTAGTTTATTTTGACCTTACTGGGAGATGATGGATTATACATGCGCTGATTAATATATAGGCTAGTGCATGAAATCACCTTGATTACTTTTATTTCCATAAATTTTCTTTTTGAACAAAATACAGTTTTGATTAGATAAAATTGCAGTTCAGACCAGTTTCAGCTCTTAATTCCATTTTTGTCATGACGGAGGGAGCAGTCAGAATTCCAGTCAGTTCAAGCAACGAAAACTTGTATATGTTCGTGCAGTCGATGCATACAGGCAGATCTGCGCATTCACGCATACGCACACATTCACGGCATGACACAGCTCTCTCTGCTGGACACAGTTACACAAGGCTTCTCCAGTGTTCAGATTTCATTTAGTGTAAAACCCTCCTAATATCAGGATAGTATAATACACTATTTTACGAAAGAAAAACATACTTGATTATTTATTGACTCCACTGTGAAAGAAAATGTATTTATTTCAAATGTGCTTGTTCTACTCATGCTATATACAGCATGATGCTAGAGTATTTTAGTCTCTTTTATCATTTTCTCTAGAGAGATATTTTCTTGCCAAAAAATACAGTCCAGCACAAGCTGCTACTGCCAGGAGAGCTGCACCTCCTGCTGATCCTAGTAATGCTGCCGGTCCTGTACGTGGTGCAACTGAAGCCACCATCGGAGGTGCTTCTCCTACTCCTGCAGCTCTTAATACATATGCTCCTCCTAATACACCTTCTCCTCCTCTTAATGCTACTCCAGCTAAAATTGCTGCTGCTGCTCCTAATGCTATTGCTACTATGAAGATGTCACATTTCTTGAGCCAGAGATTTTTCTGAGTCTTCTTAAAGTCCTGCTCAGTGTATCTCCTGTATCCATTCGTCCTCCTCAGAAACTCAATCTTTTCCAGAAGCTCAGTGACTTGAGTCTGATCTTCATCTTTGTTGTTAAAAACATGAAATGCTCCTGAACACTGATCAACTACTGACCACAGTGATTCAGATTTGCTCAGATGATCTTCTATTGGCTCATGTAACTGATCCGCATGAGTGAAGAGCACTATTGTGCGTTTTAAGACCTTTGCTCCAAAGTTCTTCTGGATCCATTTCACAGGTTCACGTTTCTCCTTTGTGAACGTCTCACCCAGTCTGATCACCAGCAGAAACACATCGAGTGGTGTATTCTGCATTATCTGCTCTATTTGGGTCTGAACATCTGTAATCTTCACAGCTGTATCAGAGAGTCCCACAGTGTCGATCACATTGACAGTTTGTCCGTCCACCACTGTATGCGCTGGTGCACAAATTTGGGTCTCAGACGTAAAATAATTACGTTCTTCGAATGTTTTTCTGTCTCCACCTAGGATGGTGTTTCCTGATGCACTTTTCCCTGCTCCAGTCAGACCCAACAGCATAATATTCAGGTCTGATACTACAGATAAGAGAGACAGAGAGATGGACATTATGGATGTGTGGATGGATAGACTAATGGATGTTGGTATGAATTACTTACATTGAGGAGGATGAGACATGCTTCCTCGCCGCATCTTGTGTGTGACTGGACTGTGAGTGGATTTCTCTCTCTCTACTAATTGAGACATTTTGTTCATTAAAAGATAACAACTTGCTGCTTCTTTACACATTTCAAATCAAAAATGTTTATAAGACATGGATCTGCATGTTTACTGGTCTGCTATTTCAAGTCTTAAAGGGGTCATATGATGCGATTTCAATTTTTCCTTTCTCTTTGGAGTGTTACAAGCTCTTGGTGCATAAAGAAGATCTGTAAAGTTGCAAAGACTAAAGTCTCAAAACCAAAGAGATATTCTTTATAAAAGTTAAGAGTGTTCCAGAACAGTTCAACCCAAATATTCAGATGTGTGCAGCACATTTTATGGAGGACTGTTTCCTGATCCTGGAAGAACAGACTACAATGCCGGCTGTTCTGACTCACAGACTGTAAGTACGTTTTTTTATATTTAAAGAGTTTTTATATTTTATATATTTAAAGCGAGTTTTTTTGGGCAGTGTAGAGTAGGGCTTGTTGTTTGTCATCACAAATGCAGACATGGTTTTATGTTTACGCGGTTAACGCAACACGTAAAAAGACAGTATAAATCATTATAATCTATAATTATGTCCCCACTGGATGCAGCGAATGCCTCGTTTATAATGGGTTTTAATGTTTTTGAATCATCGCTCCGGCCGGACACGGCATCACAGTATGGAGAGGGGCGTAACATTTCCGTCACACGCTTGAGGCATTCGGCCAATCACAACGCACTGGATAGCTGACCAATCAGAGCAAACCTCACTTTTCAGACCGATGAGCTTTATAAAAATCGACACGTTTCATAAAGGCGGGGCATAGAGGAGAAACAATAATGTACAGTATGTGGAAAATAATGTGTTTTTTGAACCTTAAACCGCATAAACACATTTCATTACACCAAATGTTCTTTTTAGCAACATCATATGACCCCTTTAATCAACAGCACAATATGCAGAATGTCCTGTTGTTCTGCTCCTTATTAATGTGAAATAATCCACAAAATGTTCAATTACAAACTTTTGTCATTGTATACATAAACATTCAATATCATTTAAGGTATGTGCCCATATTTGGAAAAACGCAATATAAATATATAAACTTGAATTAAGAACTTTTATGTTCATCATTGCCTCAGGTGTGTAGCTATTATGTATATCACTGAGGCATGCCATGCGCTGTACATGGATCACAACCGCCCAAAACTTGCAGTTTGTTCTCATGCCTTTGTTGTTCTTCTTGATAGACGTGATCTAAACAGTATGGCTCGAAACAGATTGCACATTGACAGACGCGTGCTGCAGGCCTCTGGAAGTTTCGATCCGCGCCAGGCAGTCAGGTGATTGTAAACCGTGCATGAAGAGATCCATACTCACCTATGCGAAAACCAGCTCCATTACGCTTCTCTTCACAGGTTTTATCTGCATGCAGCGTGGACAACGCACTGAAAGCTGGTTGGTATGAATGCGGAAGTTGCGCTTCTGTCCAGCTGCAGACTCGCAGGAACCATTTTCAATGGGAAGTATAGCTAAATCCTGTTCAGAAGTAGCTAAATGTCCACTGGGTGGAGCATGCATGAATATTAGGCTTGTTCCACATTGTTTAAATGGAGGGAAACCTATATCAATTTGTTTGAGTAAATGTACGAGCTGAATACAAAAATATAAATATACACATAATCCCACCGGATGTTCTTGTGTTAGTCCATTTATTTCCATACATTTTCATTCCAGACAAAATACCGCATTCTGATGAGACAAAATTGCATTAGTTTGCATATTGGCATTTTTATCAAGAGAGAGCAGCTAAATCCCACCCAATTCAAGCAACAAGCAGTTCAACCCTCCATTTTCAAACCTTAAATTACAAATGATTTTTTAGAAAAACAAACAAGCAAACAAAATGTTAGCACTCACATAAACTCGCTTGCAAGCCCTCGATGCACACAAGCGGCTCTGCTGGACACCAATAGGCTTCTCCAGTGTTCATTCTTAGTGTAAAATCATTTAAAAAGCCAGTTTTTAAGCATATACCAATATGGCCATATACCAAAGTAATCTAAAATATTAAGTTTAAAGTAAATTTGAGATAATTGTTGTGTTATTATACGCTTAGTTTAGGATAAGTCCAGATATTCTTGGGACCAAAGCACAAAACTGAATTACTACAAGTAATTTGTGCAACTTTTTCACTAAACGCCCCCATTACCTCAACACTAAAACAACTACATGCACATTTGCAGAAACTACAGTAGATCTAACAATATTTCAGTCGCAGATCCGTGCCGATCGTAAGTTTTAAGGCAGCAGAAATATTACAAAAAGAACAGGAATATAATGAAAACTGAAGTGCAGAAGTTTGACTCGTCTTTCACATTGAAGATAGACAGCTGGGTCCCCATCAGTCAGATGTTTCTGGTTTTATTTTCTTCTGTGATGCTTCATGATTTGGTTAAGTAAAAAACTTTAATTCTGTCCACTCATAGCTTTTCTGTGAACCCAGCAAACAGTCGAAAATACAGAATTTGTACCATTAAAACAGTTTAGCACAATACATACAGACTGAATGCAACCGTTTAAAAACCATAAAGCAATATGGACCGTTTTGTTTGTGTCTTAAAGGAACGGTTCAGCGAAAATGAAAATTCTGTCATAATTTTACTCACCCTAACAAAACTATTTCATAAATGGAAAAAGAGTGACTATTCAGAGGAAAACAAAACAGATGTTCAGCATAAAGAACATTGCACAGGTTCGGAACAACATACAGGTGAGTAAGTTATGATATAATGACTGAACTTTGCAAAAGAAGAAGGATTTAAGAACAGTATACAAAATAAAATAAAATCAGAATCATCATATCATTAACTAAAAAAAACCCCATATCTATCCTGATAGATAACATCTATAACCTAAAGCTCACCCTGAAGAGATGAGCGTACAGTCGTTTATTCCCAGAAGATCTCGCTCTCCTGTCAGATGAGCGTTATGACGGGTTGGCACTCGGGATAGTGAGGAATCATCTTTCGTTAGGTTGGTCCGGCTGCATTGTGGAGTTGGTTATGACTGTGTAATGTGAGATTTTCCAGAAATAATATTGTGATATTTAAATATAAATTTACTATACACACATGTACATATACATTTTTTTTACATTTACACACACACACACACACAGACACACACACACACGTAGCTAGCTAGCTATATAGATAGACGGATATATAGATAGACAGACAGACAGACAGACAGACAGATAGATAGATAGATAGATATTTTACTAATCAATAAAAACTAGATGTCCAATACTGTCCATTAACTATAAGTTATCAAGAATAACCAATGACTGGCCAATCAGAGGCTTCGATACTCACAGCGATGAAGCTGGACAGGAAGTGTGTGAGTATATTATCTCCCATGAGTCCTGTGCCCAACACTAAACAAATGTTATACAAATGAAAATGATTTATCGATTACTTTATCAGATTTATCAATTAATTTATCAATGGCTTAATGTAAACATATAATATAAATAAATTACAATTATACAAATATTTAAATAATTTTACAATAAATATTTTTAAATATAAATTTACTATACACACATATGGACATATACATTTTTTTTTTACATTTACACACACACACACAGACACACACACACACACACACGTAGCTAGCTAGCTATATAGATAGACGGATATATAGACAGACAGACAGATAGATAGATAGATAGATAGATAGATAGATAGATAGATAGATAGATATTTTACTAATCAATAAAAACTAGATGTCCAATACTGTCCATTAACTATAAGTTATCAAGAATAACCAATGACTGGCCAATCAGAGGCTTCGATACTCACAGCGATGAAGCTGGACAGGAAGTGTGTGAGTATATTATCTCCCATGAGTCCTGTGCCCAACACCAGCTGCTTGGCCTGATCATTTTTTTTTTTACATTTACACACACACACACAGACACACACACACACACACACGTAGCTAGCTAGCTATATAGATAGACGGATATATAGACAGACAGACAGATAGATAGATAGATAGATAGATAGATAGATAGATAGATAGATATTTTACTAATCAATAAAAACTAGATGTCCAATACTGTCCATTAACTATAAGTTATCAAGAATAACCAATGACTGGCCAATCAGAGGCTTCGATACTCACAGCGATGAAGCTGGACAGGAAGTGTGTGAGTATATTATCTCCCATGAGTCCTGTGCCCAACACCAGCTGCTTGGCCTGATCATAACACGCCAGCTGACACAGAGAGACACGCTCAGGATCATTTCATCATCATAAACACTTCATCTGACAGATGCCTTCGTCCACAGCGGCTCACAGCGCATTCAGCGGATCACTCCTCAGTTTGTGTGGGAACCAAAGAATATCTGGCCTATTTCTACATGTTATGCACTTATTCTGAATAGCTCATAGATCATCAGAAAAAAAAAAAAAGTCTAACCTGATAAGTCAAAAATATTCAATAAACGGAGAAACTTCTTGAAATGCAGTCATTCCCATCATGCACTGCTGTCTCACCTGTCCGACAGTGACCAGGGCTCCTCTGCTGGACGCCATAGTGGCTCCTGAGAACAACTTCCTGGTTCCCTCTGAGAGAAACACACGTTCAGAGAGACACATTCAAACATTTCCAGATGATTTTAGAGATCCAGAAATGTCTTTACCTTCCCGCCAGACCCGGAAGAGCCCGTCCAGCGCGTGTTTATAGCTGCAAGAGACACAGATATGATTCAGATTAATCACGTCATGACCTTCTGGAGGGATTTAGACCTAAACACACTCACTTTCTCCTCTGCTCTGCAGGAAGCTTCATATCGTTCTGCATCCTGTGGAGATCAATAACATGAAAAACACTCACACTCGGCCAGATGAGCTAGAAACACAAACCCTGCAATACACACCGAACGTTAACCATATCCGCTGGAGTCCCGATGAAGCCGCCGGTGAAGCCTGTGGAGAAACACACAGTATGTCTTCATCTACGCATCAGGGTTAATATTATTCTTTCAAATAACATATCTAAAACTGCAGTAAAAATGATTATAAACCATATAGACATATTTATGAGAAGTAGTAGTATATATTTATTTAATGCCATGTCAGCATCTTAGGCTATTTTCATGGCAAAAACAATTAAAAAAATACAAGTATAACAAATACAATAAGGTAATTGCGAGTTTTTATCTCTTTAAATTTTATCTTGCTATTTATTCTTAAAAAATATATATATTCAATTTGACATACAAAAATTCTCTCTTTAAATTTACATCTCGCTAATTTTTTTTTGTAATAAAAATAAAATAAATACAAATTAAAAAGGAAGATTGCACCTTTTTATTTAACAATTTTTATCTAGCAATACTTCTTTCAATTGTATCTTTGTCTCACAATTCTGACTTTTCTTCTCAGAATTGAAACGTTCATAGCTCACAAATTTGGGAAAAAAAGTGAGAAATGTGAAATTAATTTTTCCACATTTTTATTTTTTTTTTTTAAATACGGTGAAAAGAAACATGCTTCCATACATATAGAAACAAAAATAAATAAATGAATAAAACGCGCAACAAAATTACAAAAAGTTTAACTAAAATGAAAACTGAAAATATAAAAAATAATAAAAAACTAATTCAGAATATTAATAAAAACTGTAATAGTAAATCAACAATACTAAAATAGCACGTATGCATGCATGTGTAATATATATATTGCATATATAGTGTTGATACCGCTGCATTGCGCACTGCATGATGGTGATGGTGTTCATCATGAGGTGTTTGGTGATTCTCTGCTTTGTAGTGGTGTGTGTTTTTACCTCCAAACGCGCCCAGCAGGACTTTCTGATAGAAGGGCATGGGTCCCTGACCGCCGCTGCCCATCATGTCTCTGACCGTCTCATAGATGGCAAACCTGGTGAGAGAATACGACATCTGCAGAAACAGACAGAGACAGATTCATTAGCATTACATGTGTATTTCATCAGCTTCAGTGTAAACAATGTATAGCCAGTAAACACTAACAATCTTAATCTCACACTTAACCATGACAGACTGACTTTAACCGAAGAGCTGCGGTTTCATGTATTTCAGGAAGAGTCTCTGATATATTCAGGGCAGTTCTGGAGATCAGTTTCCATGCGTGTTCGGCAGCTTTTGTTTCCAAAACATTGCTAGTTTAAGTTAAAGCATGACCATGCATTTTCACCGAACTGACCATGTGGATGGATTTGTGTGCGCTTCTTCAGGGGGGGCATTCCAAAAAAGCAGGTTATGTGACATACCCGGGTATGTTTGAGGATAAGCGAGCAGATAACCTCAGTTTTCGGTTCCAAAATCGGAGGTTACTTTCAGGGTATGTAAGTAACCATAGTAACTTGCTCTCTGAAGCTAACCTGCTCTGGAGTAGGTTATGTTCCAGGGTTAGTTCACTTCATATATATATATATATATATATATATATATATATATATATATATATATATATATA